CAGGATTAAATGAAGTTTCCGGCCCCATTAGCTCTTTTACCAGAGCCAATGCGGCCAGATCGCTGGGCTGATCTTTCATGTCTACACTACTTTTCTCCCTTCCTAACCTGTTCATTCGTTGTACGTGTTTATTCTCATATTTGTTGAACCCACATATACTTCCTGTGTGTTTTAATGGTAAAAAATTAGGAAACGAGGTCGTTCTTAGATAACTAGAAACGTGTTATTTTCTTCATGCCTATGAAAACTGAAATTACTACAGTCTTTTGTTTTTAGTGATGTAGTAAACTGAACAGATTATGTAACATACATCGCTACAATAGTAAGGGTTCGCACTCATATGTGAACATTTTGAATTCGTCATCTTCAGACTCCTGTTTCGAAAGAAACACACGAAATATCGCAAGATTAGAAAGGTTCATATCTACATCTACACTTGGTTAATTTTGTGAATGTTCTACATGTAACAAACTTTACGTCGGTTTCTACTGAAGGCAATACAGTTTCGTGATTATCTGTAATTAAAAATTTATTGCAGGCCAATTAAACTAATTAATTAACATTAATGTTGTGTTTCTTGATTAATTTATATTACCTATGAGTTACAACCCTAATTTTAATTTATATTACCTATGAGTTACAACTCTAATTTTTTTTACAGTTTTTACAGGAAGTACCTCAGAGTCATTGTTTTTTTATTTGCGGTTTAATTTATGTTGGTAATTCAGACCATATAGTGTCGAGTGACAGGAAGATTAATGAGTAAATAATTGGAAATGATGTCGAAGGAAGGCCTAGTTTAAGGTACAGCCTCAGCATTTGTCTTTAGGAACTGAGGAAGACCATGAATCAACTTAGGATATTCAGTCTGTGGGTAAAGATTTGAATCATGGACGTTCTGAATATGAAACAAGTGTTATTTAATTTTGCTGATACTCTGTTTGAATTATTATTTGCAAAAGTTAATAAGTTCTTTGTACGAGTTTAATTTTCAGAATTGCAGCCTCATATTAACAGATAAATATGGGAGAATGTCAGGATTTCATGTAAAATCTGATATATCTATTGCTTGTGTACGTATCAAGGAATATTGGAATTTTATCAGAATGACTCGTATGAATTTTTTTTTTGATTTCATGATAAGGTGTGAATTTAGGTACAACTTTATTCAATGGATTGGGGGGGGGGGAGAAATTTCATTTTAAATTGTGGTATGCTTTTTCACTTTTGATTAGAAAATAAACATGTGTGTGTGTGTGTGAAGTTTTGTTATAGCAGCTAGGCAAAAGTTAGAAGAACACGTTCAGGCGGTTGAAGTGGTGTACTTCTTGTGGGCTTTGTTTTGTATGCAGGTGTATGTGCCACCCTGGCTACACGGGACAGGATTGTGAGAACAAGTACATCCCATGTGACCCCTCACCCTGCCTCAATGATGGGGAGTGCCAGGAGGTGGATACCCTCAGCTACAAGTGTCGGTGCCCCACAGGTGAGCGAGTGCCATTATTCACTGTATCACCAATATTATCACCAGCAGCATATTTCTACAAATGTTTTCACCACCACGTCCAACGCGGTGGTCGTCTTGAAATTGTTGGTGTTGATAGCGAGGGCCGTTGGCTATATGCGATGAGGAAGAAACACTGTCTTTTGTTTGCTGGTCTGTGTAAGACTTTGTTTTCGAAACACCTGGTTGTAACCCAGTGAACTGATGGTTATGGTGCTTGTTTCTTGTGCTGTAGGTTACCGAGGCAAGAACTGCGAGGAGAACATTGACGATTGTCCGGGCAACTTGTGCCAGAATGGGGCTACTTGCGTGGATGATATCAATCGATATTCCTGCCTGTGCCCACCCACTTACATGGGAGAGTTGTGCGAGCAAGATGTAGATGAGTGTGGACAGCGACCCAGTGTGTGCCAGAATGGTGCCACTTGCACCAATTCCATCGGTGGCTTCTCCTGTATATGCGTCAATGGCTGGGCTGGACCTGACTGCAGTGTCAATATCGATGACTGCGCTGGTGCTGCCTGCTTCAATGGCGCCACGTGCATCGACAGGGTGGGCAGCTTCTACTGCAGGTGCACCCCCGGAAAAACAGGTAAGCCTGGGCAGAGACGTGCTTATTGTCAAAGTTGCTCCGTTAGGTGTCCTGTAATCAGTAGGACTGAAGAGGAAGAATCTGTTTGCTTGCTTGTTTTGCAGTAATTTAATCAACTACAGCTGTTTTCACCTGTCTCCCTCTTTTCATACCTGCTAAGATATTGGACGATACTCAGGAACATAAGTGGCTTAATAGCAAACAGTGAGAAATCTGTAACTTACAAATTGCTGCAAAGATTTTGAGTCTGAGAATTGGAAACTCATAAACAGCTGTTAAGATTTTGACTCCTGAAATCTTGAGTTTGTTTTCCATATTTCATGACTCGGGAACAGGAAGTTGTCACCATCCGGGATGGGGTAACAAAGGACGCTGTAGTTTCTGTTCTCCCACCTCATTTATTTTTGAGATTCGTGACCACTGCTTGTACATAAGAGAAGTACATATGTGGACAGACTGAAGACTTTAGGGACAAAATCATTATAAAATGTAGAGGTAGATAAACAAATCCTTTTAAAATGGGTCAAAATGTGGATCGACAGTGACAAATGAAAATTGCATTCACAGGGAAATTAACCCTTTGAAAACAAAAGCTAATCTACATTATATGTGAACATTCAGTTCCTACACCAGAGAAAAAACAACCCCTCTCCATTACAAAGTTTAACGAAATAATCACTGTTTAGTCTACAAATCTTACAGGAAACGTAAGTACACTTTTACAGATTGTTAAAGCTGGTGGTACGTAATGTTTTCACTGGGCTTTGAAGGGTTAAGAGCAGATTAAGTTCAAATAATGGCTGCTAAGATGCAAATCGGAATTTTGTTTTGCCTGTACATTTGGATAATTATAAACATGGGGGCTGGGCTTACATTTCAGATAGTTCGATGGCTTTCAGGTAATGGCAAATTATAATTATGTGACTTTTACATAGAAATGGTGCACCGAGCTACATCATGAATTGGTGGTGGTGGTGGTTTCATAATTCAGTCTGTGGTGTGCCTCATATTGAGTAGTCATTGCTCAGTTGACCTTGCCAACTTGATCCCAATTGACATCACTTGCATGCTAATTTGTTTTTGTGGCACCTTTAAACGCCTAAACCGGCTGTAGGGGGTGAAAATTAGAGCTCCAGATATGGACGAGAGAAATAATTTACCCCGTCGAGCAAAGGCCTGACAATTTCTCAGGTGAATAAAGAAAATGCTCTTCGTTTGTGGAACCCGAGTGTTTTCCCCGTGTTTACAAGAGCCTGCCACTGACCCCTGACCTTATTGTGGTACATGCCACATCTAATCCTAATTCTGTCCTCCCATATACAACTACGGTCAGAGTTTGTTATTCGTATGACGGCCTTTTCTGCAGGACTGCTGTGTCACTTGGACGACGCCTGCACGTCGAACCCTTGTCACGCCGACGCCATCTGTGACACGAGTCCCATCAATGGTTCTTACACTTGCTCGTGTGCGAGCGGCTACAAGGGGGTGGACTGCAGCGAGGATATCAACGAGTGTGAACAGGGGTCCCCGTGTGAGCACGACGGCATCTGCGTCAACACGCCGGGCTCGTTCGCGTGCAACTGCGCGCAGGGCTTCACGGGACCGCGCTGCGAGACGAACGTGAATGAATGCGAGTCGCATCCATGCCAAAATGACGGCTCCTGCTTGGACGACCCGGGCACCTTCCGATGCGTCTGCATGCCCGGTGAGTAAGGCCACTGGCGTTTCTGCCCGTTTTCTCTTTCTTTTTCACTTCTTTATTTCTTTCTTCCTTCCTTCCTGTTTCTATTTGCCTTTTCAACTGGAAGTTGCAAGAATGTGTCTAGCTTTGTCATATCTATCTGCAGGCACAAAATTTTGAATTTCATGCTGGAGGTTTAGAAAAGTGTGTTGACACCAGTTAAAATCAGACGATAATAACCGGCGCCTACACAAAGATCTCCATGCGTTTCTGCGCGAGGATGTGACTGCGTGGGGAATCTCCAGCTACACACGTGTACCACTCACTCACGTGGGGAATCTCCGAGGACGCAAAATGTGGAGTTCCTTCGAACGCACCAAAATTGTATTCAATATGAATTTCCAAACTTGTAGTTTGTTTTATTTCAGTTTAATTTTCAATATTTTCTATATATCCTTCTGGTCACCCCCCCCCCTCCCCCTGTTCGTGTGAATATTTGTGACTGAGATCGCCAATGCTCGTTTCCGGGCCAACAGCGCACAGTCTCAAATGTGTTTCGTATTTGAAAAGTATCTGGTTCGAATTCCGACCGAGGGTCCACCATCCTGAATGAGACATTCACGCGTGTCTTTGGTGCGTCTAATGGCAATGCTGGGTTAGTCTATTAATGTGGGCCGCTGCTGCTTCCTTATGTCTCACGGTCTTCCAGTCACGTCTCATCCATCCATCCAGATTGATGCAGCATCATAACTGAATCAGGTCAACCACGTGCTGCACATTGTACGAAAGTGGGCTGGATGCGGCTTGTGCCCACACAGAACCAAAGTGACAAAGTCAGGTTCTTGGAACTTGCGGGTTTAAGCCTCGTACCAGGGCGGGGTGCATGGTGGAAAGTAATCGCGAAGAACATTGTTACTTAAATTGTATGTTGTTCTCTTACTATTAAGGTCCACTCGTCTGTGCCTACCCACCGGGAGGAGGTAAAGCACCGCGCATTTCTAACCTTGACGCTGTGTGAAAATGAGTTACCACGCTTCGACCCGGTATTCTTTATGAGGATGGACGAGGCCCGCTTAGATGGCTGTTTTCTGGGACCTTGCGCCCTGTAGTCTCGTAAAAATTGACACGGCGCAACGCCCCGGAATAGTATTCTTCATATGTAGAGATGTCAGTCGCGAACGAACGGATCCGAAAGACCGGATATTGTAGCGAACGAGGTGATGCGAGTTGAAGGTTGGCAATGTGCTTCTTCAAGTTCGTGCTTTTATCTCTCCGACCGGGATCGCCACTCAGTGATTCGACCGTTCCTTCATCGCTCGGACCAGTTCCGATTCGGGCCGACAAACCAGATCGATTCCTCCCACTTTTATTTTCGGTTGAACCCCGAGCATTGCAGCATCTGCAGATCCTTATCCCGTTTCCAAGCTGCACAATCTTCGAGGTGGACACTATTGATCACCGTCGCTTTCGCGATCTCTGTCGTTTGGAGAGGATCGCAATTACGACCGTGGCTGTAGGACCGAAAAATGTTTTGGACCGAACGCTTCTTTTAAAACGTATCTTTTCGTTAGTTTTATTTCCCGAGATCTTTTCTTCCAATGTACGTGTTTTTCCATGAAATTAAGTGGCGCTGTTGGAAATCATGCTTGAAAAAATATTTATTTCATCGCCTAATATATGCTGTAAAAATTTAGGTTAGTTTTTGGAAAGAAATTGGTAGGAGATTTCATATTTTGAGAAATGCTGGGGCAAGTGTCTTCAACACGGGAGGCAGTTCCTCAATTTCCTTTACCTGATCCAGAAGGAACGGGTCACGATGATGAACCCATGCAAACTAACCAAACTGCGAAAGCTGTTCACATCACCCAGCCCCTTCTGGAAATATGGTAGACTGGATGGGTGCAGCTCGTGTGGCTTGTGTCTAGGCAGATCTCTGCGTTGCTGTTACTGAGAATGACGTCAACCGGACGCGCTCATTGGCCCAAATGAAGCTTAGTAAAAGAGAATTGGC